GAAAGAGTTAGTACCAAGAGTCCCAATCCCAATACCATGGTACTCTCTCTATACCAAAGGCACGCCATAACCCTGATAAAATAGTTAAATCACCATTTTAGGCCTGTCTCTCTCTACAATGAGCCTCAAACTCCAACTCCCTGGAGTCTTACGGGACGCGCTAACCCAGCTCATCTTCCTTAGAGAGAGGGGATGGAATCCCAAATATGGTAAGGCCAAGGGCGGCGTAAAAGTATTGGATCCTGGGGTCCTCTACCGCTATGAATACCCAGGAAAAAACGACAGTTCAAAATGAAATAAAATAATGCCTCGATCGAATTCATCCTTGGTCTCCTCGATGTCGATAGATAGTACTCTTCCTTCCATGATGTCGATAGATAGTACTCTTCCTTCCATGATGTCGATAGATAGTACTCTTCCTTCCATGATGTCGATAGATAACCCAGTTAATTCGCCCCTTGGTTCGTCGGTTGACTCATCTGAATCATTCAGAGAGTCTGCCGAACTCTTGTCAAAGATCGGCCAGGAGCTACAACGACGGATGTGGAACATAGGAATGGAGCTACCGCCAGAAACAGATCTTAACTACTTCATTACCTACAATTTACTCGGCGAAGAAGATCCGGGGGCGCTAAACTCCTCTTTTCTAGTCGATGTTCTCGCCGATCTACAACTACCAAACGGTATAGTTAGTTGGTATTGGGAGGAGGCGTTCAAATCCGTTCTGTTACTACATGGTATAATCCTTTAAAACTAGTGGATTTGATCGGTCGAGTGGTGGTCCGTTGGAGCTTCATCTTTCATTGCCTTAAGGGATTACAGTTTCCCGAATCCATCCGTAATGTGATTGAACACTGCGTTTCATCTCCCAGAATGCAACTACTGTGGAATGGCAACAAGGCAAATGAATTTACTCCCACCCGTGGCGTACGTCAGGGGGATCCTCTTTCTCCCTATCTGTTTGTGCTAGCTATGGAAAAATTGGGACATTTAATACAGAATGAAGTGCAGCTGGGGAATTGGCTCCCTTTTCGGTTGAGCAAGAAAGGTACGGAGATATCTCACTTATTTTTTGCTGATGATCTGATTTTATTTGCTGAAGCAGATATGGAGCAAGCAGGGGTCATTAAGGCCACCCTCGACGACTTCTGTGATGCCTCTGGTGAGAAGGTGAGCGCAGCCAAATCTCATATATTTTTCTCTCCAAATGTTCATCATACTAGAGCTACAGAGCTGAGTGATTTCTTGGGGTTTCGCCGCACCAGTAACCTCGGGAAATATTTGGGCATGCCTATTCATCATGAGAGGGTCTCTAAATCGACATATCAGTACATTCTTGACAAAATGGACACTCGGCTGTCTAGCTGGAAGGCTAACACACTTTCTCTTGCGGCCCGTCATACACTTGTCTCCTCTGTGGTGTCGGCTATGCCGTCGTATGCGATGCAATCGACCCTACTTCCGGCTACGATTTGTGAGGAGATTGATAAGAGATGCAGAAGCTTCTTGTGGGGCAGTAATACCTCGGCTCGGAAGGTTCATTTAGTTGCTTGGGATCAAGTTTGTAAGAGGAAAGAAGAAGGGGGACTTGGGTTGAGACATGCGAAGAGACAGAACAATGCGTACATGCAAAGCTTCTCCTTTTTGTAAATTAGAATACTCCTCGGGAGCACATTCTCGATGAAAGCTAATCCTAAGGAGTTGGCCCTCATACCTTCGTAGGTCCACCTTGCAGAAGGTTCAAAGGACTTCCTTGCGTGCTATGCCACCATCCTATTAGCTTAGCTTATTTTGAAGGTCTGATCCATACTTTGAAGTCTACCCGGCCCCTAAGAAATCCAATACCAATAGTAGGCTATGCCTAAATGACTGGAAGTACGCAACCTGACCTGGAGGTTCACCGATCATCTATGTAATTTGACTCACCCTTCACTCACTCTCAAGTCAAACAAAAGAAAAGAAATTCTTTCATGATGAGTCAGTGCATTGGACAGAGTGGGACTAAGCCCCGAAGGGTACCCACCGGAGCGAAGTGACTCATCCAAATGGGGCACGAGCGGAGGTAACCCCTTCTTTTGCACGATCCCATCCCTATCAGACTCACTTCCTCGAGCTACTATGTACCTTTCAGTCGGTACAGTGTCTTTCGCTTTCTCTCTGGCAGCTATTGAAATGGAAGTTGGTGAAATGTACGATCGATTTCAGCTATCTGGGGCAGTCAAAGAGGCATTCCGTCTTTACTCTGGCTTTACTATATGATGCCCCACTTTCCCGGTTTTCTTTGAATCCCCGGTGGTATACTATGCCTTTTCGTTTTTATTCTGGTTCTGGCTGTTCACCTTCATTAATGATTTGATTTTGATCCTCTACCGAAGTCACACCTTGCCAAAATCCATTCAAGTAGTAGAAAAGGGTATTACCTTTTTTATTATAGCACGCACAGGTGATCTAATTAATGGACTAGCATCACTAAGACTAAGTCGATATTCTATAGCGACTGCCGGACCATTCCATTCATTGTTTTCTTCTCAACCTCTCCTCGGTGACTATTAACTACCCAGTCTCCTGTTGATGGTTCATAAGTACTGCTAGTCCCGTAGAAGCAGTTAATGGCATAGCCGTTGCAACAAGAGTAAGCGCTGTGATCTTTTCCGCTGCTAGTCTTTTAGCCCGAAGAAAAGGCACTGATTGATCGGGGTTTTCCAGGCCAGGAGTTGCAGTTGCCGCTCTTTCTCTTGCCGCTGCTCTCGTTTCCGGTGCTTGGCTCTTTCCTCTTGCTATCGAATCAGCAGCTAAGGTAGCACGAATACAAGCTCTTTTCGCACCTTAATCTTTAGTTTAGATACCATACCACCCACGGACATGAGAAAGAATCGGTATACGGTGTTTTAGCGCCTCTTTCCTCTTGACTCCGCTGATAAACCATATCCAGAGCCCATCAACGTGAATGTCAGACTGGGCGAAGACCTTCCTTTCGATCTACTTCCTAAACTAAAGGAGGATCTAGCTGTGGATGATGCCCCAGCTGGAGAGTCAACCTTTTCATATTAATGCCTGTCCTATTGGAGATTACTACTATTATGCATTTTCTTTTTATGCGTAAGGTATGTATGTGACCTTGGGAATTAGGTTCGGGAGTTGCTAATGGGCCTTAAGCTGGCTTAGCTCCAGGTGTCAGTAATAGAAATCGATTGGGAAAGACATGGAGGTTGAAAAAGCAGTGCTGTTGGGGAAGCCTCTCATCGAGAAGAAAAAATAGGACAATCGCTGACTAAACCTCTGGGCTCTCTTTCTGTAAAGATCCTCTTCTTAAAGGGGCATTTCCGCACTCATTTCAGATCATAGAGGTCGGGTACGAGATCTATTGGGCTCCCGTCTTCGTAACTAATAAAAGCATTGGAATGAAACCGTGGGCTTACAGGTATAGATAGCTTGGTTTTTTGAATGGATAATACCTTCCTATAGAGGATATTCGGTCGGGGTGGGCTAAGCTAATAAGCAGGCTTATTCAGACATGCTTATGGGCAGTGGGCAGATATTGATTCAAAACTCTTCCTTAGTGGCTTAAGGCTTAGTCGACCTACCTTCATTGAGGAGCTACAGACTTTAAGAAACAGCCATAGATTGCAGTTTACCTGACGTTCTAACAGCTATCTAGTTCTACCAGCTATAAGCCGGAGATGGCCTCAGTCAGCTAATCGGAGGGCTTATCCGCACATGATAGATGATAGCGGCATTCTGACCTAAAGGTAAAGGGCGTTCCCTGCGGGGCCTTACACACTCAGCTTGCAGGAAAACCGTGTCCTAGGCATATTGAATCTAGTCGCATAAAGGCAGAGAGAATGCCTTAGATAGATAGGTAAGCGTGTAGGGGAGTCTTACCCAGTTTAAACTTGAATGCCTGCAGTCAGGCAGCCTGGATGAACCTTGTAAGGGCCCTTGATTCAAATTGCCATTAAAGGAAGAAAGAGCTGCTAAGCGCGCTATAAGAGAGAGACGTTTTACGATCTTTCCTATACATACCTATTGGCCTTTTTTTCGAGTTGCGGATAGAGATTAGCGAAGGTCAATTGCCCTGGCCTCAGACCTTCATTCCTTTCTTGGTACACTACTCCTTCCCTTCAAACATGTCCTTCTCTCATGCATGTCTTTTGTCTCACCTTCGACCTGACCTGACCCCTTTCACGAACTATGATTAAACTGGCCGGATAGCTATATGATATGCTTCAAACATACAAGGCAAGGAGGACTGATTCTTGAGCTACCATTTCACTTTTCACATTGCAATATAGAGATATAGACAGTGTGCCGTTAGTTAGGAGACGGAATGAACAATGATGGATGATAGCTGTTCTATGTGACAAATCATAATCATTCAATGTCTGAAAGCGGATGGGAATAAGATGTCAAAAGCATCTGCTTAGGGTCAGATTGGACTTTATCTTTTGGCCCTGCTTGCCACCACTCCAAAAGCCTGATTCGGAGCTCTCTAAATCATTCCGAAGTAAGTTAGGGGTCTAGCTCAGCTCTAAGCCTAGGATAGGACCTTGTGTCCAGGAACCTATTTTACGGAGTCTCAGTAAACCGCGCAAAAACCCACCCTCTATAGACTGACCTAGTCGGCCGAGGGTGGGGGGAAGCGTAGGATATTTGCCATAGGTAACTGGGTTATCCCGCGTGTTTTACATCCCCTTCATAAGTGGTGTATGACGGTTCTGTCGACACTCCCTATGGATGGGACTTTCAACCAAACCGCTCCGGTGGAACGGTTGGCAGGCTCATCTATAACGTATTCTGTAGATCTTAAGGAAAGGAAGAATTTGACTTAGTTAAGGAAGGCAATGCAATGAATCTTCTTCACCTCGAACGGGAGTTTGCTTTTTCACCCCAGGGTGAGAAAGAATAGGAAGAGATTGAAGAACAAAAGCATTAACGGATATGGGATAGAGTCGGCAAAGAGCTTTGCTTGTATAGGTGTTCTGAACAGTTCTTAGTATAATCTAAGAATTTCTCGGGTGGGAATGCTTGTTGACTAAGTCTCTGATTCCAATAAGCGACTCTGAACTCTGTTCGCGGTTAGCTGATAATGTTATGGCTTCTTGCCAGTTAGCTCTCATTAGCTCGAAAGGGAATGAGTGACTCGAAGGTAGAATAGAATATAGTATGACAACGGAACCATTAGCATAGATAGAGGAGTTCCTGATCCCAGACCTAGGGGTGCTGGTTCGAGTCCAGCTCGTGACAAGACCTTTTTGGTCATATCCGTTGGTATTGCTGTTACGGTTGAGGGTGCTCTGGAAAAGATGACTATGTTTACTGGTTATCATACCAATTAGCAGAGCGAGTACCCGACACGAACAGAGAACAAAGTCGAAAGAAATCCGTTCCGATACAAAGCTACAAAGCAACTAGCTGGCAAAGAACCTAGCGCAATGAAAGATGTTTATTTTAATGAATCGAGATTGTCTTAGTGTGAAGTCACATACTATCTATACATATTTTTGACCGGCAAAGCATTGAACAAAGACAGCCCCAACGAATGTCAGTTTCCGTTAGCCAGTTAATCTATCTGTCAGACTGACAACTATCGACCCCGAGCACAACGGACTACCATCCCACCAAAAAACCACTCGGAGAGTCGACCAATTAGTGAGTTACTTCTTAGGTTAGGGCTGTCGAACCAAAACCATCTAAAGCACAAGAGTCGGGAACAGAGCGAGGTTTATCAACCCATTTGAGATAGTCAGTTAACGCGGAACAAAGGAATGCAACTCCTTTTCCGGAGTCCGCTATGGGCCTTGAAAAAGGCAGATAAAGGAATTGCTTGACTCACACCCATAAGCATACCCGAACTCTCATTTCCTTGCTTAAGGCCCTTCGTCTATTGATGATCTCGTGCATGAAAGGCTTGACCCGCGTGATCCATAGTCTATAGTCTAGTTTGTAGAGCCAATGGTTACCATCCTGTGACCTGCAGGTGAGGAACAGATGTGACTCTTTCTTACCGTTAGAGTCCCCCTATCTCTTAAAGCTTCTATGCGACCCATGTAGCTATTTATTGGTGCCTTTCCTCTCCCGCGGTTTCTTTTACTAGAGCTCTGCCGCCATCCCTGCTATTGCTTATGGGACTGAATCAATAGAAAAAACAACTAGATCAAGTGCTTATACCCGGGGGAACCGGGGTTTCAATGGGCTATGAATCCGGATATTTACCCCTTTACGGAACTGAAACTGATGAGATTCAAGGATTTTTGCCGAAAAGCGGGTTGTCCTTATTAGTCAAGCTTTGGCTCCAGAATGGGAACTGGATCCGGGAAAGGGGAAACTTTTTCTCAATCTCAATCTGTATTTATTCAAAGTGGTCTTGTATTCGTATATGGGCGAGATAGTTTACCTTTTACTGAGTCATTAATGCATCAATGGAGTCAACTTCAAATGAAGTTTGATTTTAGAAGAAGGTCGGCCTTGACGTATATCTACTATACTGCAGTTCCCACCTCCGTGTGTATTGAGTGTTTGCTTCAATCCGGCGAAGTAAACTGCCTTTCCTGCCGCCGAAGGATGCCTCAAGTAAATAAATAAGCTTTCGAAATGGTGGGTCGGTTGTGGATAGAGAGGTAGGGATCCGTATCAGGTCGGGATGCCGCTGTTAGTGTGGTACCTCTAGGGCTGGCTGCTCTCGACCCCTAAGGATAGGTAAACGAATGCTCTTCTAATTGGTACCTAAACCCTAGTTAGTTCCTGCCATCCATGCTGCTTCCCCTGCTGATAGGTGATCAACGGAGACTAATGCTTTTGCTGTTGTCTCTGCCACAGCAGCCTCCGCTGGTTGATTTGGATGCTCCAACGTGTGCTTCAACCGGCGTATACAAGAGAAATTTCAATTGAAAAGAAACCCCATGCCAACATTTCATTCCATGTTTGGCCGTCCAGCGAATGCTCGTTCTGTTGGAATACAGAATCGGAAGCCCCTCCTAATAGAATAGGGCTGATCCATCGGAAAGAAGACAGAACGAACTGGATCGGAGAAAGAAAATCAAAATCGTAAAATTATGCACTAACTTGAAGGAATGCATATATGAGGAAGCATGACATTTCTGGGGTGTCACGGAAGAAGTTGAAAACTAGAATTCCTTGCGAATTCTATCCCATTGGGTTTGAGGAGGGCTAGTAGAAAATATGGCAGTGCGCCAGGGAAAGGGCCAAGCTGTACAAGAATACCCCCATTAAAGTACCAAACAAAGGGTTCCACAAGCAAGCTATTATTCTGATTATCTCCATTGAGGAGCATCAAACCCTAATGAAAGATCTCTCCCCATTAGAAACAGGTAATCATTTTCAAGCCACAAGAAGGGATCTCCTCTAGTCGAGCAACTTCATTCCTATAGTTCTTACCGTCGAGGTATACTGTATTCTAAATAGTCCGAAATTGCCTATCGGCTCAGTTAGTTACACCAACCCTTTGTCGTAGACAAACTTCGCTCTGTCATCTTTTCAGCGCATTATTCGGTTAACCCTTATTCATTTGGTAATATTTCTTTAACTTAAGGCTATGAACACTTCCACCTAAAGGCTTTCATCTGCTACCAACCTCAAGGTAGCTTTGCTCTCCTCCATCGCTCAACCCTTGCGCATTTTACATCATTAAGCAGTTCATCTCCCCACATCCTTACTTTCCGGCAATCTGCCTCTGCTCCAGCCTTTGCGCTTAGTCTTTTGTGTGCTAGCGCTTGTGCGGAACTGCCATCTGTCCAAGCTCAAGCGAAGACACTAATGAGCACTTCCTCCTCCCGCTTTTGGGTTTGTTTGTTTCCGCCCCTTTTATTGTTGATTCTCAGAAGTAATTTCGCGTGTGCTTGTTTCATAGATATAGATGGTTAGAAGACAGACCTCACGTGGCAGCGTCTCGGGCTGGTCTTTGTGCTTGGATATCGGGGGATCAATAGTGACGGAACTCCAAAACCCTTGATTGATAGGCTCTTTTAGTGTTGGCGGATTGGGTTGAAGGCAGGGATGCGACAGCTGTCTTGACCTTGACTTCTAGGTAAAGACTCGGTTGCCACTAGAGGATAGAGGTATACCGATCCCACAGATCGAATGCAATTTCCTTTCCAATTTCGGGAGTTTTGGTTCTCCCATGAATCAAAAGAAAGTGCTATTCCAAAGAAAGTGAATCAGGCGGAGAACGGCTGGTGGGGGTAGTTGGCTCCTTTAGAAGGCGTTTACTATTTAATAATTAAATAAAGAAAAGAAGGGCTCGTCGGGGGCGTGCCTATTGTTGGAATCCAACATGAATGGGGCTTGGAGACGGCAATAAAGAATTTCGCATCTTGTTGGTTGGAAAGTAAGATCCAGGATGTTTAAAGAGACGGCATATCGGCAGTCAGGTCAGCCCTCGATGATAGTTAACGAATACCATGCTTACGGGGCTTGGCCCGCAAGGCATAGTTGTTGAATCGCACCTATTCCTCGGTCTTTGATGAAAAAAGAATCTTTCTGGAACTCGGCATGATCCTTTTGAAGTTATCCCGTCCGGATTTACTTAGTAGGTTTATTCAGAACTACGAATGGGATTCGTTCAAGGCTGCCGCATTTGAGGGACTTTTAGGACATTCTTACACTAATAGCAATGAGTGAAATAAGCTTATGAAATCGGCATGTATGTGTCACGCACGATAGTTCGATTGGGAAGGTACCTGAGGTTAGCCAAGAAAATCGAGCGCCAAGCAAGGCCATTGTTCGGTGCTGACCAGGATGTCCTGCCCAGCGAGTGTCGTGACACTCCTTCAACAAGTCCTTACGTATCTTATTTCATCTTGGAACGAAAAGCTTATTCCCCTTGGTGTAGAGCAGACCATCCTTTTTCCAAAGCGACGTTTTTCTTTTTATTCCTAGTTGTAATAGGTTCCTAACTACTGCGTCATATTGTAGAACCTTCTTGATCCTATCAGAAAGGGCGCTCCTAAACTGGCTCACAGCAGTTATCTCCTTTAGCTTCAAGCTCACAAGCTCTACTTTCCGACTTAACGCATCAGCCACTAGATTCGTGCGTCCCGGCTTATACTCGATACACATATCGAACTCAGCCAAGAAGTCTTGCCACCTTGCTTGCTTAGGGCTGAGCTTATTCTTTGTTTGGAAATTGCTGGTAGCTATGTTATCCGTTCGGACAACTAATTTTTACCCGAGCAGAATTTGTCTCCAAATGCGTAAACAGTACACTATGGCGATCATCTCCTTTTCTTGTACTGTGTATTTCCGCTCGGTGTCATTGAGCTTACGGCTCTCATAGGCGATTGGGTGCCCCTCTTGCATAAGAACGCCACCAATCATAGTCCGAAACATAGGTATGTACCTCGAAGGGCTTAGCATGATCCGGAAAGGCCAGCACCGGATCAGCCATGATGGCTCCCTTTAAGTCCTCAAAGGCCTCTTGCCATTCTCTCGTCCAATGCGGTTCTTCTTAAGGAGATTAGTCAAAGGTGCTGCCCGACTCGAAAAGTCTTGGATGAACCTACGATAGTGGTTTACCAGGCCAAGAAAAGATCTTAACTCATATACCTTTGATGGGGGATCCCATTCCTCTATGGCCTTCACCTTCTCATTGGCCATGCAAATGGTACCCCTTGATCCGATGTCTAAGGAACAAGACTGATTGTTAAGCAAAAGAGCACTTCTCCTTCTTGACATAAAGCTGGCGTAATATCTGAAAGACAGCTCGTAAGTGCTCCACGTGCTCTTCAAGCGTCCCACTATAGACCAAAATGTCATCAAGATATACCACCACTCAAAACCAACAACTCAAAAGACCAATTCATTAGCTAAACTCACCCCTATTCACTTACGAAGCAACCGGACTCGCCTCAACAAGAGAAACTGCATCCCTTCTTCGGAAGGGTCTCTGCTTATATGTCTTGATTAACTTTACTCCAAGACACATGGAGTCCTAGTTAGGTTACCTAGGTACCCCCCCACGACACCTGAAACATGGTGCCGTTTAGGCGAGTCTTGGTGTTCCCAAGGCAGAATGTTTTTTCAGACTGACACTTGTAGTGTCACCAAGAGAAATCCTTGAGAATAATCTTGGATGGGCGGTGACGGGGAAGCTAGCCCAACGGATTCTAGTAAACGTTGGCGTGGCGTATGCTATAACTGTCCCAGGTCGCACCTGGAGTAGGACCCATAATAAGAAATAATTATTACTACAACTCGTTGTCTGTTTGATAAACTTCTGTCCTTGAGGACCATCAAGTGGTACAAGATTCTGGAAGATCTTGCACTGCTAGTTGGAATCTTTAAGAAGAGAAGGTCCAACTACTCTGATGGTCTGACCAAGGAGCTATGTATTGGAGCTCACCTCGTAGCCAAACAGGTGATAAGGCTAAGGAAGAAATCCGGACCCTTGTTTGCTGCTCTTTATCTAAAACAAGCAGGAGTCTGCTTACAGAAAGCATATGCAGGGGTCCCTCAACCTAAGGGATTATTACCTGTGCCAGTTTCCTTAACCGGCTCTGGTTTACTGCGGATTAGACCATCCTTTCACAGGAATTTAATCCTAAACCTAAAAGGGATGCTTTTTCTTTTTCCGCTGTTAGACTTCTTCGCATACTTGCTTATCCTCTCCTTTGCCTTTTAAACTACTCATGTAGAAAAAAGGCTTTTTGAAATATCGTAATATGGCACCATTGGTGGAATTCATTTCCACCACTGGAGAGGGTTTTATCCCCCTCTAGATTGGACTTGAGCACAGAGCAGATTACAGCGTAGTTTGCCTTGTGTTCGGGACCATCTTGTCCCTAGGGCACTATCACTGGTTGATAGAACTCTTGTTCTACAATAAAGTGATAACAACCCAAAGCATTGTCTCTCCTCGCCTCTCAGTGGTAACACTGATGCGTTTGAGACGACCATGTGATCCGGCTTTGATAGCGCTGGACGCCATCCCTCACGCTCCCTAAGGAGCGGGTCCAGGATAATTGGTTCGATGCTATTCTTAGTCTACTGGGTATTCTAACAAGTGCTATCGCACTGTGGTAGTTCCCCCTAGGCCAAGGATTAGCTCCGATCCAATGGCGAAGTAGGTTCAAAGACCTACCCTCTAGTCCGATAGATGTGATTCACCTATCGTCCTAGATCCTAGCAGCTGACTCATCCCCTATCTCTATAAGGCCTCCGGGTTATCAACTTTACTTGATGAACAAGTTGGTTTAATTCTCAAGTAAGTCCTAACGGTATATGGGACACCAATCTGGTGGATTCCAAGGGATCCATCTGGTTGATTTCATATACCTTTAGTACTTAATTAAACCAGTATCAGATGGACGGATATTATCCCTGAAATTGAACGCTTTTTGACATCCAAGTTCTTGGGATGGTTCTTAATATCCTTTTCATCTGATAGATGAGATACTTATGTATCTTGTTCTTGGGCATCATTCTAGGTTACACGATCTCTTGGCAGTGTAACCTACTTTCTCGGAATGTGCACACTAAGGTACCTTATAGGTTCTTCTTACTATAAGGCATGTGGTAGAGACGACCGTACAGTCATCCTTTGGAAACCTGAGATTCCAAAGTCGTGTTGTGCTGTCCCTTTATTATGTGCGAACCTTACCCCTTAATAGCCCCTGGTGACTTCATTTAGTTATCATGGTGGGAATCACTATTATCGGGTCGGGTCTATCGGTAATTGCAACTATTTCACTTTTACTGGTAGATCTGAGAGGTAACCTATCATTGTTCTTATGGATAGTGGTAGGTTCTCCTTAGTGTCCATTACTGTGTCTCAAAACATTTCTCTCTAGGGTATGTGGAGAGCCATCGTGATGGTCAATCCGGGTCTGAGAGTTGATGGACCTTGGAATTCGCATTGAGTCCCCTTTCAACCTCCAATTGGAAGTGGTGCGAGCTGTTAGACTTATAAGTCATTAAGCGCACCTGAGCGCAGAGCTCCTTGAGTAAAACTCTGCTTCGGCGGGGGGGGTCTCAAGGACAGTATCCGTCCGGCTTTGGAAACCGGCGGATAAACCCCAAAAATATCGTAATATCGTATGTGATGTTAGAGAGCATGCTCAGGCTAGTTGCCTGAGGATACTCCGATAACGAATTCAGCTTCTTCTTGACTTTAGAGGGAGCGGAAAAATGGAAAAGGAATATCTCAGAGCCGATGCGCGATCTCCTCACTTTCCCACTTAGGAATCCGGGGAAGAATCAACAAGAAAGAACATCAAATCGTAAGTTTATGAAAATCAAAAATAGCGTGACGTGACGAGAATTTGGAATTCGAGATGGATCAACTAGTTTCTTCTTTCATTTCTAGCATGGGTTTGGCTCTGCCTTTAGCTATTCTTGTAGGCGTTAAGGCCGGCAAAATGATCCATCAAATTCACAGCTATAGGCAAATGGAGCCCATGGTTACTGATGTAGCCATAGATGTGATTAAAGAAGAAATGGTTGACCACCTATCCATTCTTTTGCGAGCCTATAAGGAGACTGTTCGGGATATAAACTTACCAACAGGAGTCAATCTCCAAGATATAATAATTCCCCTTTTTTTCCAAACAACGAGGAAGTTAGCCTTCTACGCATACACACAATCTATTGTGATCTTCTTTCTGAGGGAACGAAAAGTGACTTCTTTCTCCAAGTTTTGGAATTTCTTGGACTTGGATGATAGTATTTCTTTTTCTTATTTCTTTCTCCCACGTAGTTCGTTGGTCAACAACCAACCACTCGTCAAAACACTAGTCCTACAGGCTTTTCGGAGTTCAGTCTGTGAATTGTTTTTTATGAATCAATCACTATGTTTAACAACGTTCGACGCATCTTTTTATTTGATGAGAATAGTCTTAACAGTGATACAGCTTCTACTTCTAGTACTAGGATTACAAATACTACGGATCCATCTACAAACGATTCTAGTGTTTTTTCATTCGATACTTCATCTCCCGATCGTAATGGTATTTTTGAAGATCATCCCGGTCTAAACCCGGACAGTGAACGTGTAGTGGAACTACAGTCTGAGATACACGAGAATCTCAGAGAGTTGATGCCTAACAATAGTGAGCAAGAGGTTCTGGTAGCGGCCGAAGCTGTACATGCCGAAAGCGGCGATATTTCGTTTCTGGAGCACACTTTGGAAGAATTGAACGAAAAGGGAATAGCGAGTGAGAGCTTTCAGGAGGCCCTTAATTATCAAGCGCAGATGGCCCCTAGCAATACTATTCACGATTCTAGTGTTTTCTCGGGCATCTCCAGCCCGTTGGATCAATTTGAGATAATCCCATTGATTCCAATGCATCTGGGTGACTTTTATTTCTCATTCACAAATCCATCTTTGTTTATGCTGCTAAGTCTCAGTTTGTTCTTACTTCTTATTTATTTTGTTACTAAAAATGGAGGAGGAAAGTCAGTACCAAATGCTTGGCAATCCTTGGTAGAGCTTATTTATGATTTCGTGCCGAACCTGGTAAACGAACAAATTGGTGGTCTTTCTGGAAATGTTAAACAAAAGTTTTTCCCTTGCATCTCGGTCACTTTTACTTTTTCGTTATTTTGTAATCCCCAGGGTATGATACCTTATAGCTTCACAGTTACAAGTCATTTTCTCATTACTTTGGGTCTCTCATTTTCGATTTTTATTGGCATTACTTTAGTGGGATTTCAAAGAAATGGGCTTCATTTTTTAAGCTTCTCATTACCCGCAGGAGTCCCACTGCCGTTAGCACCTTTTTTAGTACTCCTTGAGCTAATCCCTCATTGTTTTCGCGCATTAAGCTCAGGAATACGCTTATTTGCTAATATGATGGCCGGTCATAGTTCAGTAAAGATTTTAAGTGGGTCCGCTTGGACTATGCTATGTATGAATGATCTTTTCTATTTCATAGGAGATCTTGGTCCTTTATTTATAGTTCTTGCATTAACCGGTCTGGAATTAGGTGTAGCTATATCACAAGCTCATGTTTCTACGATCTCAATCTGTATTTACTTGAATGATGCTACAAATCTCCATCAAACTGGTTTGTTATTTATTTATAATTGAACAAAAGCGAGGAGCGAAGTTAGAGGAACTCGGGACTGAGCTCCCAGATGCAGGTAAACTAGCTAAAGGATAGGTTGTTTAAGAGATCTCCGTACAGCACTGAATGCTTTGTAAGAATCTCTATCTTATAGATACTTGCTTAATCGCTCGTTTGCTTCCAAAGATAGCTTGGCACCCGGAGATATAGGCGTAGCGCAGGATGGACAAAATACAAATTCTTGAGTATACTTTGTTTGGGTTAGACGAAGTCCAGAGGTGGAGCGAGATACCTCCATGCCAAGAAAGTAATGCAGCGGATGAAAGAGAGAAATTGGTTGCTAGTCTTGTGGGAATAGCCCCGTCACTTGCCTGAAAGCAGGAAAGAGCCAATTGCAATTCAAGGAAACCAATTGACCGAACGGAAGATCGACATGAGAAGCCGATGTTCTTTGTACAGAATCCCATGCAGATTTGGAAACTGTTTAGGCATTGGCATGAGCAAGAAAGCATAAAAGAGGAGACGAAATAACCGGGATTAGCGTCGCCCCTTTGCCCCTTATTGTTTGTTTGCAAGGCAAGTAACTGAACTGCCTTAATCGTAGAACAACAAGAGGCATGAAAAATTGCATCGAATAGAAGAATAGGAGCGGGGGGAAGCATGGAAGAAAGAAGCATCCAACATCATCGTTGAAGAGGAAAGATGCCATAGAATAGTACCGGAGGCCTAGTAGTTGGAATATGCCTTTTTTTTTTTTGAAAGAAAGCATCAGAAATTCGATGCGATAGACCTATATTTAACAAGATGTAAAGTTCATTCTTTACATGGGATGTTAAAGAGGTAGGAGCTCGAAAGCAGTTAGGGAGTTAGAATGCCCCCTTTCCAATCGGCTGACCCGCTTGAAGATTAGGAATCGATCTCTATGAAATTCAGGATCGAATACATCTTTGGCTTATGAGTTATGCGTTGAGGCTTTCCGGAGTCTCTTTAAGCAACTTGGCACTTTCGGCTAGTGCATAATCATGCCTATGGGGAGCAGTGGTCACAAGCTTGCCTGTGGCCCCCAGAAGGTGGCTAAGGTCTATGAGCATATCTTGTCTAAGTTGGGAGTTGATATTCGTTTTCAAAAATCCTTAGTTTCGACAAGAGGCTCTGCCGAGTTTGCCAAGAGGTTTCACCTGGGATTGAGGGTTACCAGGCTATCTCGATTAGCATCGAGTCTGGAGTGAATTGTGCTTAGGTCGCGACAGACCTCTCATCTCTCAAGCTCTACTTCCGTGGAGAAATGCGACCGCGGGAGCTTTCATTATTCCTATTCCAGGATAATCTATTTGAAAGGGAAGGGATTTTCGGTAGGCATCGAAGATTCTTTTAGGCACCAGTCGTGAACCGAAGCTGGAGGACCGATCGGACTGAACCGAAGTTGGTCCACTTGGGTCTCATGTGCTTTGAAATTGACATGCTTTCTCAACGTGTGAATAGGATCGAAAAAGTCCAACTATCTTCAGGCGAATGGTCAACGGATCATGACAGAAAAAAAAAGCAGAAATTTCTTCTTTCTTCAAATCTCTATTTTGCAGCATTTAAGATATTAGCCTTTACTTCCACCATATCGACAATTTATCCCGTGCAACCTCGTCCGAAAGAACCCGTTCTACCTTTTCATTTAGCCCCGCCCATCTCTGTTCTGTAAAGATCGTCTCGATTAATTAATAGTCTTCCCCAGGCGATTAACTACTTACATATTTTTTCTTTCGTCTTACAAGAAATAACAGATCGGGCATAGCTTGGTCATACATAGAATTAGAATTTGCAACTAGGGCTAGAGATGACGTCTATTGAAGTGCTTGTAGGGCCCAAGAAGCGGAAATTGGATCAAGGAAATGAATACATATTTAGTGCTCACTCGTGACAACAGACTTCGTATTCATTGATGTGCTAACTTACAAGTGCCAATGGGGGGAGTCTATATCAGCTGACCGGAGAAAGGCTAAGCTGACTTTGCCACGGCACCTTAGCGTCCCTTCCTCTCATTAGCTCTCCTTTTTTTATATGCACACGTGCGCGAGCCGTCTCAGAGAAGGAGTGGCTTCCGGCCGGCTTAGACTGCTTGAGCTCGAGTTCCTGGTTAAGGGGGTAAGACGAGATCCTACGGTTCACTTTTCTGTTGTATCTTTAGCATCCCACTTCACTCCACAAGATCATCCAGGTCTTCCTTCTTGGCCGCTCTTCACACTTTCCCATTACTATTTGGTATGGTGGTGTGCTGAGCAAGTGTACCCAAGTAAGCGCTTCACTAGGTATGCCATCCTTGGCGATGACATCTGTATTGCAGACTCCAAGGTGGCCAAGGTATACCGCGATGCTCTTGAGACTTTAAAGGTACAGGTTTCATTACCTAAGTCTTTGGTCTCAGAGATCGGGTGTGCCGAGTTTGCTAAGAAGTTTAGGGTTAGGGGTTTGACTGTTGATTTATCTCCAGTCTCATTCCAAAACCTCTTAAACTCCCATCACATAGCAGGAGCTATGGCAGTCGCTAACACTTATAGTGTTCGTTGATTTGCCATACTCGCTAGGATTTACGGTGCTGGTTTGAAAGTCTTATCAAAACTTAACCACCCGTTATCCGCCCGATACCAACGGTTGAGGGCTGTGTGGGACAAACTCAGATTACCTTTTGAATTGTGAGTAGGCCGCGGTCTTCCCCTTGACCCTTATCTTTCTTAAAGGATATATTACCGATATTCTTTAAAGAGCTTATAAGCCCAAGGATCTCGTAGTGATGCCAGAGTCATCACTCTATCAAGATGTGGCTTCTGCTCACTTTTCTGAGTATACCTTGCTAAGGGCATGGATGAAGCAGTGGTTGAACGGAGTTCAATGGTATTATACCAACGCGTTAAACCTGGCCTTACCCTTTGAGAGGTTCCTTTCCGCTCCTGTCGTTCAGCATCACTGGAAAGTGAGAACTGAAGACCCCCTATTAACTCGTTTTGGGTTAATGTGGAGGTTATTCGACGAAGTTGGAAAATGGAATCGGAATATGGTAGGTATACTACCGTGTTCTAGGATCGTACGATGACCGATCCTATTCGGGGGTATCTCCGGTACGAGTTTCCTGGTTTATGCCTCTGGGCTTGACCAGCCTAAGGCACGGAGTGGGAGCATTCATATTGAGTGTGACTCTCCGAAAGCCATCAGCCATGAGTTAGTTAGATGAATAATGCCATTTCAGGCGAGTGAATATCTTTATCTTGCCTTTCTGTATGATAGTCTCTTCCTCTTAGACTGGCTGGAGTGAGATTATAGACTCCTTTATTCCAGCCGCTTTCGTGCCGTTCCCTAGCTCTCTTGAAAGACTACCCATCCAATGAGACTACTGAGACGGCTACAGCTATTCCCACTTCTGGGACAGTTTTGAATGCCATTATGGGACTCGATCGTTATACCCTTCCCTTAGGCCTTTTTCTAAGACTATATATATATATAAATGGCACTGAAAGTTGATAGGCTTACCCTTTGATTGAATAGAACAAAAGTCTTCAATACAGGGAAAAGAAAAGGGGGCATATGCAATTACAAAAAGAGGTTTGGATTGGACAACTAGTTAGCAAGAAAAATAGGCTAATAAGCTCTTTGCAAGTCAATTCCCCTGTCCGGATCTAACAAGAGGTTCCATTGCAATGCCTCCTGAAGAAGGCGGCGTCGAGAAGGTGGGCGAGGATATCCCTTCCCCTGAATATGGCGGAAGTGAAAAGACACCTCTACCCTTAGACGAATAAGGCCTTCCGACCGAAGCCTTTCGAGACCTATTCATTCGCTCTTGCCAGCAGCTACTTTTCAGCGAGTGCAGTTGGAGTGAAATCTGAAAGAGAATCTATCCTCTCATCTCAGTTAAGCGATCGATGGATGGGACTCCCGGCAAAGAAGCGACGGTGCAGAGAAGCTATAAAGCCTATTAGGAGAGGAAGAGGGATCGCCCACTAGGAACGGAGTTCTGCAAGAATGAATTCACCAAATGAGACCTCTGTTAGCGGAGTCTTCCTTCATTTCCTATAGCGACTGGATGCGGCTCGGAACATGCTAACGGATTTGTCGACTGACATGAATAGGATAGCGATTTCCGGAGTCATTCAAGCTAAGAATGCACTCACCAGCTGAGAATGCATGGTGGCTCGTCTGGACTCTTGGATGACTGTCTAGCCTTGTTCTACCTTCCCTTGCTTTCAATAAGAAATAAGGAAATTCGATAACAGCAAGCGGAATAACCTATTTTCATTTGCTTCCTAACGGGGTGATGCCCTACCACACATTCGGGGACTTAAAAAAGATAAAAAACATTCTGCCTACCTACATAATGCGCACAGCTTTGCTTTGTAAGAAAGTTTTTCTTTCCCTCTGCGCACAAGCTGTACTCAGATACAGACAGGATTCTGATAAGCAATGCTTCCTACGCCCCAGCCCCACATCCGTGAGTCAGGAGCGTTAGCCCTCGACGTAAGGAGAGGAGCGTACCGAGGCTTAATAAAAGAAGTAATCACTGAGGACTGAGAGTCTTTTCCTCTTCCCCTATCTCTATAAGGCCGTTGGGCTGCTTGCTGCTGCTACGCCCTTTCTGACATGTACACATTAACATTCAATACGGGTGTGATCCACCAGATCCACGTTCTTTACTTAGGCCGCCTTTCTGAGTTTGACTTGTCTTACTTGGAATCTATTTAGCGGCGGGCATCTCGGTCCGGAGTGAGCCCTACTTCAACCGAGGTAGGGAGCGTTGCCTTACTTTGTTTAGTGTTCCCAGCTACCCTAAGATCAACCATACTAGGAAGATTGGTAGGATGGGGGAGGAAATAAGTACTGATTTCGGCTGTTATGCTATTGTTTATTTGTCACATTCCATACCTTTCCAGTATGATCTACTACAATTCCTTATTGTAGACCTTCTTAGCGGTGACACTTTTTTGTCCCTAGTCTCCCCTCTACTAAATAGAGTTGTCTAAAACATAGGTTTCTTTCTTCGCAATTGCCCGTCCTCATTCTATCAGTGGTTCTGATTAAGAGATGTTTC